ATGCCTGTGCATAATGTACACAGATGGGGCCCTCTCCAAGAACAAGATGGCCTGTGTGCCTCTTAGGACCTTTGTGGACCATCTGTACCAGGATTTCACATGGTGAGCCAGGAGGTTTGAGAGGACATGCTGAGACCTCCTCTTTATGATTTGCATTTTTTAACCCACTCATCTCTAATATTCACTTTGGCAAGTGGAATTAATGTTCTCACATTAAATGAAAACACTGAATTTTTAATAGATTCCTTGGGGCTTGGTGATAGTTTGATACTGTTTCCAACAGAGAAAAGATATGAAGAAATGATATTTTTTTCTAGTTTGCAGTTAGGTTTTATTTTTCTTGCCTAGCCACCTGCTGAATCCTCTGACCCATCTAGCCTGGGAGCAGAGCCCAGAAAACAGCTCTGGGTCCTATCACTTAGGCAGCCTCCCTGTTGTATCTACATACCCGCTCCCATGGGCTTGGTGCTGTCCCCTGTGTGCTGGCTTCAGCCAGTTGCATTGGCCACTCTTGGTGTGCCAGGTAGTGGTTGATCTGTTTCCTTCTGTGTTTGCTTAGATGGTAGTGATTGACCTTTTTGTGCTGTATTCGCTTGGATACTTTGTATAGTTTCCCAAAGAATTGGGAAAAAAGATTTTTTAAAAAGTACCCATTATTCATTATCTATTGCTACTGTCATTATGTGCTGCCCGGGACTCCCAAGAGCTTTGCTTCTAGGCCAGTTGATTCATATCTTTGTTTGATGTGTGAGAATCTTCTGAATTTGGAAGTTCTTATCCTTCTCTATCATTTACACCTTTCTGGCACCAGAGTAGAACCATATTGGTGATGGTTTTTTTGTTTTGTTTTGGTTTGTTTTTTTGTTTTGTTTTGTTTTGTTCTTTTTTGTTTGTTTGTTTGTTTTTTGTTTTTTTTTTGAGATCAGTAGCAGGGCTGGGAGTGGAGGTGACAGCTGAGAGACTTAGCAAAGCTAGAGGGGTTGCAGAGAGGCCAAATAGTTGGATACTCAAGCTTAGACTAGCTCATGATGGGCCTTTGCTCAGCTGCCATTCATGAATGCCAGCATGGCAGCAGATGCTAGAATTGGTCCCTTGAACGTCTGTTGATCTCTTTGAAGTCTTTGCTGATTCTCTCAAGTCAGAGTCCTTGCTCCTCTGGGCTACCATGGCACTTTTTGTTCCCACGTATCTCCTTCAGCTTTGTAGCAAATAGTTAATTGTCTAAATGTCTGTTTCTTCTACCACATAAGTCTCTTGACAGTAGGAACCTACTCTCTTCCATCTCACTTTTCTCCTAAGCCATAGATTGTATCCTACTTGTAATAGTTGCTCAGTAAATCTTACTGAATCAAAGTGAACAAACTGGCTGTCTCTGTGGAAGTTCTGCGGCTAGTATCCATGTTTATTGTATACTCTGTCATGAGATAGGAGTGTATCCTTGGAGAAAGAAAGCATCATCATCAGAAATAACATGTAAATATACATGTAAATATAACACGTAAATAACCCTACGTTATTATTGGGCCTTTTGGGGGAGGCAGCTTTTGTTGGGCTATAATTCACACCCATACAGTTCCCCCATTTAACTTGTAAAATTCAGTGGTTTTCCATATGTTCACAGAGTTATGCCACCATCACCACAATCAATCTTAGAAAATATTCATCATCCCCAAAAGAAACCCTGTACCTATTCCCTCTAGTCCTTTAGCCCTAGACAACCATTTATCTATTTTTTGTCTCCATAGATTTGCCTATTCTGGACATTTTATATAAATGGAATCATACGATATTTGTGCCTACCTTTTCACTTGGCATAATATTTTCAAGGTACCTCCATGTTGTAGCATGTGTCAAACCTACAGCTTGGTGGAAGTTAGAGGGCAGGTGATGCTTGTTTTTTGACTAGTGGTTGTGGCTCAGGCCAGTGATGAGTCTGCCTGCTCTCAGGAGGACCAGATCTATAGGTATACTATGCAGATTGTGGGTTCAGTTTCAGACCACCACAATGAAGCAAATATTTGAATAAAGTGAATGAAATGAATTTTTTAGTATCTCAGTGCATATAAAAGTTATGTTTATACTGTAGTCTGTTAAGTGTGCAATAGCATTGTGTCTAAAAATCTGCATACCTTAATTAAAAATGACTATTGCTTAAAAAAAAAAATGCTAACCATCATCTGAGCTTTCTGTGAATTGTAATTTTTTTTTGGTGGAGAATCTTGACTCAGTGTTCATGGCTTCTGACAGACCAGGGTGGTGGTTGCTAAAGGTTGGTATGGCTTTGGAAATTTCTTAAAATAAGACAACTTTGTCACACCAAAACAAATTATTTCTCTGTGGCACACAATACTGTTTGATAGCATTTTACCCACAGTAAAGCTTCTTTCAAAATTGGGGTCAGTGCTCTCAAACTCTGCCTCTGCTTTTATCAGCTAAGTTTATGTAATATTCTAAATCTTTTGTTATCATTTCCACAATCTTCACAGCATTTTTACCAGAAATAGATTCCATCTCAAGAAACCATTTTTTTGTTGTTGTTCACCCATGAGAAACAACTCCTCATCTGTTAAGGTTGTATCATGAGATTACAGCCATTTAGTTACATCTTCTCGCTTCACTTCTAGTTCTCTTGCTGTTTCTACCACGTCTGCAGTTACTTCCTCCACTGAAGTCCTCAGCCTCTCAAAGTCATCCATAAGGGTTGGGCTCAACTTCTTCCAAACTTCTGTCATGGTGATATTTTGACCTCTTCCCATGGATCACGAATATTCTTAATCACATCTAGAATGGTGGATCCTTTCCAGAAGGTTTTCAGTTTGCTTTGCCCAGATCCATCAGAGGAATCGCTGGCAGCTACAGCCTTATGAAATGTATTTCTTAAATAATAAGACTTGGAGCACACCTGGCTGACTCATTTGGCGACACATGTAACTCTTGATCTTGGGGTTGAGTTTGAGCCCCACATTGGGTGTAGAGATTACTAAAAAAAACAAAAACAAAAACAAAAATAAAAAAATAAACAAAAACAAACAAAAAAGGAACAAACTTAAAAAAATAATAATAAGACTTGAAAGTTGGGGGTGCCTGGGTGGCTCAGTTGGTTGAATGTCCCACTTCGGCTCAGGTCATGATCTCGAGGTTCACGAATTCGAGCCCCACATCGGGCTCTGGGCTGACTGCTCAGAGCCTGGAGCCTGCTTTGTATGCTGTGTGTCTCCCTCTCTCTGCCCCTCCCCTGCTCCCACTCTGTCTCTCTCTCAAAAATAAACAAACATTAAAAAAAAAAAAAAAAGACTTGAAAGTTGAAATGGCTTCTTGATCCATGGGCTGCAGAATGGACATTGTGTTAGCAGGCATGAAAACAATATTCATTTCATTTTACATCTCCATCAGCGCTCTTAGGTGACCAAGTGCATTGTCAATGGGCAGTAACATTTTGAAGGGAATCTGTTTTTCTGAGCAGTAGGTCAACAGTGGGCCTAACATTTCAATAAGCTATATTGTAAACAGATGTGCTGTGAACTAGACTTTATTGTTCCTGTATTATAGAGCACAGGCAGAGTAGATCTAGCATGATTCTTAAGGCCTGTAGGATTTTCAGAATGGTCAATGAGCATTAACTTCAACTTAAAGTCACCAACTGCATTAACCCCTAACAAGAGAGTGAGTCTGTCCTTTGAAGCTTTGAAGCTTGGCATTGAAGCTTTGCTATGAAAGTCCTAGATTGCATCTTCTTCCAATAGAAGACTGTTTCATCTACATTGAAAAACCTGTTTTTTAGTGTATCCCCCTTTGTGAATTAACCTTAGCTAGATCTTCTGGATAACTTCTGCAGCTTCTACATCAGCACTTGCTGTTTTACGTTGCACTTTTATGTTATGGAGACAGCTTCTTTCTTTAAACCTCATGAACCAACCTCTGCTAGCTTCCACCTTTTCTCCTGCAGCTTCCTCACCTCTCTCAGTCTTCATGGAATTGTAGAGAGTTAGGGCCTTGCTCTGGATGGGGCTTTGGTTGAAGGGAAAGTTGTGGCTGCTCTGATCTTCCATCCAAACCACTAGAACTTTCTTCATATCAACCATAAAGCTGTTTTGCTTTCTTATCATTCATGTGTTCACTGGAGTAGCACTTCTAATTTCCTTCAAGAATTTTTCCTTTGCACTGCAACTTGGCTAACTGGCTCAAGAGCCTAACCTGTGGCCCCTCTCATCTTTCAACATGTCTTCTGCACTGTGCTGAATCATTTCTAGTTGCTGATTTAAAGTAAGAGACGTGCAACCCTTCCTTTCACTTCGAGGCAACTATAGGTTTATTAGTTGGCCTGATTTCAGGGGATTGAAATTATGTTTGTGTCTCAGGGAACAGGGAAGCCCAAGGAAAGGGAGAGATACAGTGGAATGGCTGGTCAGTGGAGCAGTCAGAATACACACAGTATTTAAGTTCTCCGTCTTCTATGGTCCCAGTTGATGGCACCCCAAAACAATCATGATAATGAATCAAAGATCCCTGATCACAGATCACCATGACCAATACAGTAATAATGATGAAAAAGTTTGAAATATTGTGAGAATTACCAAAATGTGACACAGTGACACAAAGTAAGCACATGCTTTTGGGAGAATGGCTTCCATAGACTTAATTGACTTAGGGTTGCCACAGGCCTTTAATTTGTAAAACAAACAAAAAACTCAGTATCTGCAGAGCACAATAAAGTAAAGCTCAATAAAATTAGGTATGCTTGTATTTCATGGAAATTCCATAGAGGAGTTCTGAACTTGCTTCTCTGAGCAATTATAAGAATTGAGACCGTGTCAGTGAGTACCTAATCCAATGCCCAGCATATGAGGGTCTCAATGACTTTTACTTCCCTGTGTCCCATTTCAGGTTCTTGGATTCTAGTAAGAATCTGCCAAAGTGAAACAACAGATAAATTTTTATTTGGTACTTTGAGTTTAATTTACTGATTTTTCCCTCTATCCTTTTGTTTTTGTCCTCCCAAGGCTATGCCTTTCTGCTGTTCCAGGAGGAGAGCTCAGTGCAAGCGTTGATAGATGCCTGCCTGGAAGAAGACGGGAAACTGTACCTGTGTGTGTCAAGCCCCACCATCAAGGATAAGCCAGTAAGTAATATGTAGCCAGCTGTTGCTTTTCCAGAGCACATATGCATTTGGAATAGCTGAGCGCCTCCTTTTTGTAATGGGAATGCTGGTAACTAGGATTCTCTTACCCGGGGTGACCTTGCTATGCAATAGAGCTGGACTATTGTTGATGAGAAGCTAATAACAAATTACTCAGTATTTCATTTTATACCTTTGGGACTGCGTGTAAACAAATGTGTCCTTGTCTTTCCCTTTACAGCTCTTTTAAGCTAATTCCTATTCAGTAACTCTGAATTGAAGTAAACAATGCTCTAAGCGGTTTTGGCAACTGGTTTCTGTCATTTTTCAGATCAAGGACAGGAGCAATTTATTATTTTTTTTAAAAAAGATCATAATTGGCAGTGTTTTGTGAGTGGTACCTACAACTGGCTTACCTAGAGCTTACACTCTAAAATGGATATCTTCAAACAGGGTGGGAGAGGGAGAGGGCAAGGACAGAGAACATGAACCCCAGACCATAAACAAATGTACATTTATACAGAGTTCATGGTTAAGAGGTTGTGGTTTCTGAGCCAAAGCATGTGAGTAAGTCATTGGGTAAGAGATGAAGACTGCTTACTTTCTCCTGACAGGGGTTATCAGTGAAGAAGGGGCAAGGCTGTATTCAGAACAACAAAAAAAGAAATTGGTTAGCATGGCAGATAGAGGATTGAGGGAATTCGGAAGGGGATGAGTGTGTGTCAAGAGCTGGTGCTAGGAGTGGGAAATAGAGTAAAAATTGTGATATGGACCAAGGGACCGAGGCAGGAATCTCTCCCGGGGCTTGCAGCGTCCCCTGTTAGACTTACACCAAATGTGGGGCTTGCTTGGCAGTTAAGTTTATTCTCAGAAATGTGCATGGGGAAAGAGTTGGGGTCAGAAGTAGAAGTCTTCTAAAAAAAATTTTTTTTATGTTTTATCTTTTATATTTGAGAGAGAGACAGAGAGACAGCAAGCAGGGGAGGGGCAGAGACAGAGATAGAATCTGAAGCAGGCTCCAGGCTCTAAGCTGTTAGCACAGAGCCCGCCCGACGCCGGGCTCAAACTCACAAACCGTGAGATCATGACCTGAGCCAAAGTCGGACGCTTAACCAACTGAGCCACCCAGGTGCCCCCAGAAGTAGAAGTCTTGACTCTAGCATTTAAATTATCTGCTTGGTTCAGAATAAGTCACCTAATCCTTGCAGGATCTTAGTTTCCTCATCTATAAAATGGCAGGAATAATGGTTTCTCTCTGCGATGTTGAGCAGCTCAGATAAGAGGAAAATGAATGTGAAAGCACTTGGTATTTGTGCAGATGTAAGTGGATGATGCTGTTAGAGCCGTATGGTGCTATAGTCAGGAGAGCAACATTAGAGCTTATTACAGGGTAACATCTACTGAAAAGAATGGTGGCATCTAGAGCAGGGTTTATAGTTGGCTGCAGAAGAATGGCGCTGGGACTTGTCCACCTATAAGGGGGAGACTGCAGCATGGAAAGCAGAGGAGTTACAAAGAATGGAGATATTGGGTTATAGAATAATCGATGCAGAAGAAGAAGCAAGGATTTTAGCAAGTGTGACAGTGCCACCACGTATTTCACATTCTGGGGCCATTACCAAATTTTTATAGCAGTTAGCAGACTTGGATAGAGTAGCTATGCAGTTGGGGAAAAAGAGTAGGGAACCTTTGCTAACTTTGGTCTTAATTTAAGCTGAGGAAAGGCTGTGTACACTGTGGCTAGAATAGGAGGGTGTAGTGTTTCCTCTGAACACATAATGAGAAAGCTGGAGTAACATTTCTAAATCTCTTTGGAATAGTGTGAGATTAGAAAGACCGATCCCAACTTGGCAGAGTCAGATGTCTGAAAGGTAAATGGTTAACCTCCAGAGAGCCTCTGCCACCCTAAGAGAGGATTAGAAATAGATTTATACATTTAAAAAAAAAAAAAGAAAGCAGGGTGATAGAGATCCACATGAAGATAGTTACACCCAAAGTAGACTAAGAAGCTGTTGAATTGAGGGGAGGAGACCAGAGACGAGCAGATGAGCTTGTGTACCTTGGAAGTATCATGTCACTTGCTCTGTGGGGAAAGGAGGCTAATACGCCTTCTCAGGGCATGCCTTCACCAGGACTGGACATCTCTTGAGAAGGGAATGAGCAGTGGTGGTTGCAGATGGAGGTGGTATGTTGATTGTTTTCCCTCCAAATACATTTATTACCCTGAGCATGAAGGACTTTTGAAAAATAATTAGTGTAACTATCTGTTTTGGAAATGTTTATGGGGAAACTAACTTTCACTGTTTGTGTTTCTGCAAATTTCTGCCTTATTGCAGTTTTCATTTTCTGAACTCAAGTGAAACAGTTTTATTGGAGCTTGGTGAATTCTGAATGGTGGCTGCTGATTACGTATTTCTTTAACCCAGGCATACTTAGAATTTCCAGCATAAACAATTTGAATAAAACTCAGGATGGGAAACAGAAAAGTCCCCAAATACCTATAATTCTAATGAACTGGATCCCATTTTGGGTTCCAGCTCTTTTGGCTCCATTTTTGAAACCTTCTCTTTGTTGGCTTTAGCTCCACATCTATCACTCCCAGCCTCATTTGGCCACACTTCCCCACCCAGGTTTCAGTACATTCCACCTCGTTTTGGATGCTCCCACAGAAAGTGAGAGCTGGGTTGAACTATTGGGAGTAAATGAGGACCTTGGCAATAACTCAAGGTAAAGTCAACCTTTGGAACTCATTCACCAAACCTTCTGAGCTATGGCTTTTTCTACTTCTTGGCTTGGCTACTTTTCAGGATCCTAGTGCCCTCATTCTGTTATTTAGTTCTCTCTGATCCTCTCTGGAGTTCTCCTTGGAAATACACAATGTTCCAGAATGACCTCACAGATTTTCTATCCATTGACGTTCTCCCTTATTCTGTTCCCCCAGATCAAACCCCCTTTCCCTTTGTGTGGATTAGGTTAATCAGATTGTTTTCCTAATACAGAGCCTGATAGCAAGGTTCCCTCTCACCTTTCTAAGATTGTGTTTGTTTTTTAACTCAACAAATCCCAAATCAGTGGATTCCAGATAGTATTAGGAGGTATTTTTGGTCAGTGATTACCTTTCATTAAATAACTCTACTTAGACTACCCTATGTATGTATAGGTCTGATCCTTAAAGATGACAGAAGACACTATTTATAGCTTGATTAATTGACTTCCCAGTTCCAAAGAGTGGGTAGACAAATGGGCAACAGCAGGAACTATTGCAGAGCTCCTAGATGTGTGATTTTGACCTCTCCTCCAGCAAAAGGAATTCCGTAGCTCAGATGTTCCAGGCATCCCAGAGGATAGCTGTGTTCTTGTCCAGGCTTCCAGTGAAGTGGACAGACATTGTGACAGTGGTCCCTTTTGTCAAGGTGACTTCACTTTTGAATGTATAAATAGACTGAACCTGAAGGTACAAAACAGCAAACTGATAGAGCAGGAAACCTGTTAGAGTCTAACAGAGATAGGGACTAAAAATCAGTAACCTTGAAGAAGAGGTGTGGAAGGAGATTTTTATGACTCTTACCTTCTAAAACACTTTGGCCAGAGATGTGGGATAGTAAACACCTTGAAAGGAGTATTATAGAAGTTTCCTGCTTCCTCCTCCTTACAATTTATAACATAATCACAATTTATAAATATCCTGAAATATGACAGATTGATTTTCTATACAGTTGGCCCTTGAGCAGTGGGGTAGGGGTGTTAGGGGTGCTGACACCCCACTAGTTGAAAAATCCACATATAACCTTTGGCTCCCCATAAATATTATTAACTACCAAAATCCTACTATTAACCAGAAACCTTAACAATAACATATACAGCTGATTAAACCTATTGTATATATATTATATACCATATTCTTAGAATAAAGTAAGCTAGAGAAAAGATAAGGTTATTAAGAAAATCATGAGGAGAAAAATGTAGTATACTGTATTAATCAAAAAAATCTACATATAAGTGGACTTGCGTGCTTCACACCTGTATTGTTCAAGGGTCAACTGTATATTTAAAACTGTCTTAGCAAACCGAAGTGTGCTTGTGTAAGGTCACTTGTGGAGCCTGTTGCTCAGGTAACATGGTCATCCACTCAAAATTTGAAAAACAAAAATTGGGGGAAAAAATGTTGGGAGCAAAGAAGCTGGAAACCAGTTGGATGCTGGCTCAGTTTTTTAATTTTTATTCTGTCCAATCTGTCTATAATTCTGTCTTTCCTATTCCCCTTTATGTATCAGTAGGATCTCCAGCACTTTGAATCACTCCTCTTTAGTCAAAGACAGTCCAGATCCCTTTGCCTGGGACTTAAGACTTTCCCAGTCTGATTTCAAGTTTTTTTCCAACCTTTCTTTTTTCTGCTTTCCTTCTGAACCCCTTTTCCAGTCAACTGAAATATTTCGGCTCCCACTTCAGTTTCTGATTGCGACACTTATTTTTTTAATTTTTAATTTTTTTTTTTTAATTTTTTTTCAACTTTTTTTTTTTTTTGGGGGGGGGACAGAGAGAGACAGAGCATGAACGGGGGAGGGGCAGAGAGAGAGGGAGACACAGAATCGGAAACAGGCTCCAGGCTCCGAGCCATCAGCCCAGAGCCGGATGCGGGGCTCGAACTCACGGACCGCGAGATCGTGACCTGGCTGAAGTCAGACGCTTAACCGACTGCGCCACCCAGGAGCCCCAATTTTTTTAAATTTTTTATTTTTGCTACACTGATTTTAAGACCCTTTCAAATGCCGTCTCTTTCCTGAAGCCGCCTCTGATCACTATACCACCTATAGTGACTCACACCTGCTATTATAGCTATCTTCAGCCCACATTCAGCCATATTTTTAAAAAATAATGTGCTGGCCTTCCTTTATACCATGTTTGAGGGACTCCTATGGGCAAGGCATTAGAGCTGGTTACTATGAATCAGACATAAAATCCTGTGTTCAGAAAGTTAATAGTATAATGGGTAGATAAAACAA